TCTGAAAACAAAAAGTTCTGATAATATTTCCTGGTTGGCAGCTCATATATCTTAAAGTGAAATGCTATATGCAAAAATAAAAACTCGAAAGCAGAGAAAAATGCACCTCACCTGCGCATTTAATCATGTGGGGAATAAAAGTACATAGTAAAAAAAAGCCAGCTAAGAAATGCGGCCTATGCAGCATTCATTAGTTTTTTGCTATTTGCACTACAAACAAGTATTGCATTTGTACTTATTACTTTCCTGTTCACCTGGAAGCAAAGTTATCGAAGCTAAAATGTTGAAAACCAGATGTTAAAACTTACGATCCTACAACCACTAACAGAAGGTCAGTAACAACAGAGAACCCAGGAAGTTGTGAAGCGTCTTGTCTGCGCAAGGCATGAATTGCCTGGAATCGAATCAGAAATGGTCACTGGTCTGTTTTATGAATCGTCAAGTGCAGGCAGTGCTTATGTAGTGGCAAATGAGATGTGTGCATAGAAAGATACATGGAAGTTGTAGTTGCCTATTTTAAATCTGAATTCTCCTGGAAATAATAACAAAAATAAAGTGCAAATAAAAGCAAACATGGCTTGTACCGAATAACTTTTAAATGTGAGCGTTACCAGATATTCAAGGGGATTAACTAGAGTACTCCAAACAGGAGATTTATAAGTTTAGAGTAGGGAAGGGATGTGACCACTTCTTTATTCAGATAGATTTTAGTGGCACAGAATAAACTGCAAATTTGTCTCAACATACCTTTCCGTGCATCCTTCAAGCACTTTCCGGCTTCCTTGAGGAGATCTATAGCCATATAATAACTCTTTTCCTGTGTGGCTTTGCATGCTTCATTCATCAGTATAACCCCTTTCTGCAGAAAAAATAAAGAATCTGTGGTAAACATTTTCCAACCTGGACAATGATGAGAAATAAGCAATCACAGAAATTAACATGTAAGAGAGAGAATTGTTTTAGTTGTGCAAACAACGTCCCTTTATAACAGCATTAGTTCAACATATCAGATGTACAGGTGGCTTGATTGTTCAGTTAAAATAGTAAATGGCTGAAACTCTTGTTCTTTCACTATTAAAATTTCAACACTGCCACAGCCAACCAAGTTGCGTTGTGGTTAAAAGAGCAGTAATGAGCCTTTGCTTTCCACAAAGCATAGGGAATGTTTTATTCAGCTAAGTAGCCATCAGTACCTCGTGAATGTGAAACGAAAGTCACATTCACTCCAATTATTAACGTGTAACTGAATTTTATTTAACCTTTACTTAAAAACCAAACAAAATCTTACCTCCAATGGAGTTTTGCTCTCTGCAATTTTGGAAATTCCTAAAAATAAGCAAGAAAGCAAAAATTAATTTATATTGCATGTAAAATTACCTGTTATATAGCATAATATTTCTTACTAAAAAAACCTTGGTAGTATCAAACATGGCATCATTTACATTGGACTCCTCCATATATTTTTGTTTGCATCAGTTGTGAGTTTTGCCTTAAAATCCTCCTAAGCCCTAATCAACGTGCACAATAGTCTTATTAAAAATTACTGAGTATTTACGATGTGACATGAAGTGACCCAAAGTTCAAACACAAATCAGCTGTGCTGAAGAGGACGTTCACTCACTGCAAGACACTTTCTTTCTCACATATCTGACTGCTGATCAGTCTCAGAATTCTGATCTACATCGAGTCCCATAAATTTCTATTGGGTCTTAAAAATACTTGAACAATTTAAGACTGTCTCAAAACTTTATATTAATAAACTGAAAATTTGTCTCAACATACCT